GAAATATAATGCCAAATACCTAAAAAAAAAATCTTGGGGGTCAACAGTCCCCCCTGCCCCTTAAGAGTACCGCCAGTGCACACATATGTATGTGTACTTAGTCGTGGGTGATCTATGATATATTGAAATCCATCTGATGTAAATAACAAAGTGTAGTATCTAACTCGTCGTTTTATTCCCTCATCGGCTCCTCCCACATGGGAAATAATTGAGGTATCATAGAATATTACCATTATTGGCACTTAATCCACACGCATTCGTATATGTATTAATATATATTATATATATATAATATCCCTCTAAAATTATAAGGTCAAATGGTGGGTATAAATTTGAATAATTATTGAAATGTGTAGGCATTTTATGACTAATTCTGCTTGTAAATTCCCATTGTGATAACGACAATTACTATACAAAATATATATATAGGTCCGTGTTACCCTTTCGGAGGCGTTGAGAGTCTTGATTTAGCAAATTATTTAGCTACGTGTATATATATCTTATAATTAATTAGTTAATTAATTAATTAATTAATACATGTTTTTCTTGATAATGAAAGGGAAATAGCAGGTACTATGTGTGTTTGGACTACCCTTTTACTTATTTTTTCTGGGAACTGGGAATCATGTTTCCAGATTTTCGTAATTAATTAAATTATATGTATGTATATATATTAACTTAATTATTATTTGGCTGTCTGGATATAAGTCCATGCCACGATCTTAGTGCTTAGTTGTTGGATATATAGGGATTAATTGAGTTTTTTGCATTTTGCAATATATAGTTTTATCAACTTTAACTAGTGTTATTTTGTTATGGTAATCTCATATTACTTACACATACATATATACATATATTTATATATATATAGTTTTTTCAACTTTATATGTGACATGAATTATCTAACCTAAACATTTAAAGTAATCATGTAAAGTAAAAATGACATAGGAAATGTTGATATAATATCGGAATATAATTCAGAAAGTTGACTTTATATTGTATTTTCTTTTTTTTTTTTTGCACATGAAAATTTAATTCTAGCTAGTTTGCCCTACTATGTGTTGACTTTGTATATAAATATTTAATACAGGCCAACAACTATTGGAAAAATGTTCATCAGTAAATGGCTTTTAGCAATATAGCAAATTCAGCTTCATACATCTGTATAATTTCATCCTACTACAATGACTGATCGGATCAGAATTAACACTCTTGAAAAAAATTTATCTTTTTCGGAAGTGAAAAAATAATTCAATAAGTCGGCAAGGTAGATTAATAGCAATTCACATTTAATTGTCAAATAAAAAAAAACAATTATAAAATAAGAGGAAGAAATTTGAAAAAAAGGCAATATTTGACTGGCAGTAGTCAAGACAGTAGAACAACTTGTAGACAGTGATGCATAAAAGTGAAGATATATTTCGTCGTTGATCGAATTTTAGAGTATTTGGTCCTTTCGATGTACGATGGGGCCTGGTTTTGTTAGACGCGACGAAATGAATTTTCCAATTTTATTTTTAAAAAATCTCCATTGATTAATTTATGTTCATGCACAAATGTCAACTTTTTTATGGGTGAAACGAAAATAGAATTTATGATTTCAACCAATTTTTCGATTTTTTTTTTCTTTTGGGATCGTATTTTTTCCGGTGTGTAAAGAAATGGAATTTTAGATTTCGGTCTAGTCCAGCCCAAAAAAATCTAATTCTTATAAAAGGTTTTTCTTTACAATTTTCAAAAATTCCAATTTCAGATTTTCCCGGTATTTTTTGGAACAGAATTGAAATTAATTTCACTTCGAAAAATTTCGAAAAAATGGCTCAAATCAAATGCTTTCGTCTTGATTGAACATAGTCAGAAATAGATTTACTCTTGAATATAATTTTTAGATTTACTCTTGAATATAATTTTTCTATATATCCGAGAAACGAAAAAAAAAAAGTCTTCTCCAGTACATAATTTCATCGCAGCACATGTTCTAACTAATAAGATTCTTGAAACAAAAACGAAAAAAGGGTCGCCTTATAAACGGAGAACCTATCCACAACCTAACATCATACACTGCAAAAATACACCAAAAAGAAGATAAAAGAAAACTCAACACACGATTTAGTAATATAATTTATAACTCAATCATTTCTATCCTTCATAATGAACTTCACCGAAACACACAAGGGTTCACCGTTCACCGTTCACCACAGCACACATAAAATGAATGCAAATCTTTTTTTTCTTCTTTCCAGATAAATTGCATTACATGCTAGTTCCTACAACCGCATCGAATCAAATATACAAATAAAAGCAACGGTGACTAAAATAAAGTCACCTGCTCTGCTATTTTCACCTTCTGGGGACAGGTTTGTAAAGCACAACAGTGACAAATTTGGAACGAAATCGATGAGTGACACCAAGTGAAACTACCGATCTCGGAGACTCTCTGTTCTCAATGTAAAGATGGTTCAGACAAACATTCTGTGGCAAAGGGAGGTGGGGCCCACAAGGATCGATATTGCTATTACTATTTGTTGGTTGGTTTAACAAAGTGTGCTGTAGGTGTTGTGGTAGCATAGGCGGTTCTCTGCCTTCATCCTCGTTTCCAGGGTATGCGTTGTTGTAACTTGCTTCTGGTGAATTCGGAATTTCAAATCCAGCAACATTTACTCGATCCTGAATAAAAAATATTATTATTATTATTAAACATTTAGGGGCCAGTTCTTCTTCTGTTAGAGGAAACAAAACACAAAATACAGTGAAGTCTTTCGATTCTTAGACTTACTTGATCTTCCCCATATTGATGGCTCATTGTATCTTACCAAGAACGGAGAGCCTGAAAGTAAATCATGCAGTGGAATATAATTATTTAAATTATAAGATTTTTTTTTTTTTTCATATTACGTGTCGCTTCATAATTTTATGGTATGACAAAAAAAAATTTGTGCCGACTTCACCCTAACATTTATGAAGTCGTAAAGAGAAAACCAGTAATCCACAAACGGGCAAATTTGTCAAGTAAGAACTTTTTCTCGCAAAACAAAGACTATTTAATAACTTTCTTAATTACTATGCATCAACCTCAAACGACACTTAATACGAAACCCGGGGACTACTTTTCATCAAAATTACAATGGCGAATATATTTTACGACAAAAGATTACTCCCTTCTTTTGAGTACAAATAATCATCAAGGAGAAATTGTACCGTTAAGTTCATTAATGTTGGAGTAGTGAGGCGTCTTTGCTTCCGGTTTTTTCTTTTTGGGATGTTATTTATGATCCGGTTATGTGCGCCAAACAAGTAAGAGATTTGGGTTCATTAAATACGACTAACTAAAATGCATCTTTGACAGAAGTGAAACTAGTATATTCAGGTAGAAAACAAATTATTGTCCATTTCTTATATTCAGGTAGATTATTAATATCTCCAGTATATTTCTTATAAAGGCCACAAATGAATACTTTCAACCTGCTTCCAGAGCTTATGAATATATATATATATATCATACACGCAGCTTAACAAAAAAATACAGAACCCAATAGGACAAGATGAAGCGTCGTGATATAAGAACCAGAGAAGGCTTAATAGTTAATACCAAATTTAGCCTCGATAACTACCTTAATCTCAAAGGAAATCCAATAATCAACAATGTTAGAGCCTCAGCAAGAATGAATTAAAACTTCGAGGTTTCTCAATAGATAATGAAACCTCGTCTAAAGGAGTAATCACAAGGCAATCAAATAACTTCTTTATTGTCACATTTAACCGAAATTCCACTATCGTCGGCAGCTTATTGATCATCGTAGAAATATTCAAAATAATTTAAGTTCATACCACATGCAAACAATGCCAAGGAAGAGCTTATCTCACTCGAAATACTTCGAGATTAAAACGAGAAACGAACCTGATTGAAGTATACAGTGCAGGCTTCAGGTCACAATTAACATACTCTCTTAGGCAATTGTCCTCTTTCAGCACTCAATGCAGTATGGCAAAAAAATCAAATCTTGGCCAAAAAAAAATAAAAATTATTATTAATAATCTAGGCGATGAAAGAAAAATTCATCCGAGTACAAATTTCGAGGAATTTAGAAAATTCGTTATCCAGAAATTAAGGAATTCAACAAAAAATTAATAAAAGAGAACAAAATTCAGAATACAATTAAGCCCAATCTCCTATACCAAACTACACAGAAACTAAGAACACGTAAAAACCCAAAAATAAAAAATAAAAATAAATAAATAAATAAAATCTATATATACGCATTCATACCCAGAAGAATCCGGTAATAGATTCTGAAGAATCATGCGTCTGTGTACGATTTCTGTGTGAAATTTATACGCTTCGATTCGTGGGAAAATACCCCTTCTGAATTTTTGCTCCAGAGCAGAGACTCCGTTATATTTCTACGCCTACTGTTCAGTGTTTGGGTAATATTTAATATATATAATATTTGTAAAAGACAAAATTTGGGGGCGTAGTAGGTGCAGTTTTGGGCTTCTCAGCCCATTATCTATATACGGGCCTCTCTTACAGCCCGGCCCAATTATGTAGTTTTACCACATAATTGGTACTGGTGTTAAGAAAACTTAAATATTGTCAATACTTCATTATTTTAATATTGTAAAAAAAAATAAAAAAATCAAACTTTTATGTATTATAATGTATTAGTTAGGGGTGGAAATTGGATTGTAATTTACATTTTCGTCGATTCTGGTCAGAAAATTTTCGATTTTGGAACATATTGCTACAACATAAATACATTTTAAAATTAAGAAAAAAAAATCCAAAGTTATTTTTGATCAAATTGAAAAATTAAAAAGTAAACACAAATTAAATATTAACTTATTGAAGGACATAGGTTCAGAAACAGATTAAGCCGATTAAAGATGCTTAATTAACCCTTAAACAGTATAGTGAGAGAAGTTGCGAATATCATTATTAATTACTAAACTCTGTAATTAACTAAACTTTCAAATGGGGGATTATGAAATAGCACAACTTCAATAGCTGATGGGCTCCACCTTTTCTTGTACTCATGTTTGTCTTCTCTCATTTTAATTATTATTTTTCCTTTATAAAAGTAGGGATTAAGTTAATTTTATATCCAAATTTGATATGTCTAACTGGGCCAATTCAATGGGCCTACAATTTCCTTACATACTAGGCCACGAGCCCAATATCGAAAACCATTATCACCGAGGCCCAATCACCTTCAAGTAAGGGTTGGGCCCAATAATCTCAACTAAGCTATAATAATGTTTGAACTCATTCCTTACGTCTTATGAACTGAGTAATACTATCAACTGTATTATCTGGACTATTTCCACTATCAGGTTATCCAGGTATCAACTTAGAGGGGTTTCCGCCGGATCAACCTCGGCGTAGTTCACGTGTGCTCATTTCGCAGTGACCTCAGGATCGTCAAGTTGTCAAGCTACTGATCAGCTTTGCTCTCCCAGCTCGTTTTCTACACTACCCTAGGTGATCTAAATAATTAGCATCATCAAAATTGTATTATTTTTAGTAATTACATGCCTTCGTGCAATAGTTTGCTCCATCAACTAGACCAGATATATATCTTATTAATATATATATTATTTTATTAATTAAAATTAGGAGGAGTTTGATAGAATGCAGTATAATTATTGCTAAAACTATTATTCCAAATCAAAAATATAATTTTAACATTTAGTACGTTCTTAGCTCATTTCTGCATCAGTATTTATATCGATTTCATATTTAAAAGAAAAAGGTTGAATATATATAAAATAAAAAAAGATGGCGTAATAAACCTGCTAAAGATTCCTGCATCAGCATGACATCATCATAAAAATTATGTGGAGAAAAATAAGCAACGTTTGTGCATGAAAAACCTACCAATTTTCATTCATCACCAACACGCCCAATTAATTGTTCAAAGGGATGTGGCCCAGTCCCACGCATTCCACGTGATTGGCACGAGCCTACTGTCCTAATATAAGTAATTATAAGAAAAATATATATATTATATAATTATTGGTATTCCAAAAATGAAAAATAATATGCGACAACAAATTTATTTGTTTATAAGAAATCGGGTTACCCCACGAAATGAAATTAGAATTATGAGGCCACGTCAGACTGTACGGAAAATGGGTTAACAATTTATTTTTGTTATTTCTTTTATTATATATTTCTTTCTTTGAACATTTATTAAAAAAATCAGGTTCACTTATAAAAATTAAAAAAAAAAAACTCACGGGACGTATCCTAAAATTATATTTTCTTCTCTAGAATAAAAAAATATTTAAACAATATCACGATGCCCTTGTTAACGGTAGCTAGGTTGAGCTTGTCTTATATAGTTAACCTAATTTGATTTATATTTCTCGTATGATTGCAAGCTATTACCCAGTATGCCTCTATAATTGGTTGCGGATTTCTTCGTTTCAAAAAATTAAAACCCGACAATTAATAGACAAATAGTAAGTTTCAAGTTTCGACTTTATTATAAAAGTATGAAAACTAAAATTTGAATAATATCTTATCCATTTGCAGCATTAATCTAAATTCTATAAAATATGCATTTTTAATAATGTGCAGGAAAAAAAAAAAAAAAAAAAAGGAAAAAAAAAAAGAATAAAAAGAATTGGGTGTATCCGAATTAATTGAATTTAAAATACATTGAACAAAGCCATAACTTTGGATTCCACAAGTCCACCATCTTTAGAAAAATGAGCTGTGATTGCTCCTTTCCTGCAGATTTAATTTTGCTGGGTTTATCATTTAGGGGAAATATGCAATGCCCCCCTCAAATGGAAAATATTATGAGTAAAACCCATTTGACTTTTAAGACTTTTGCACAAACCCAAAATCCAATCTTAATTAGTGAAACCCCTTCAACAAATGTGATAAGCCGAAACTACCCTTATAGGTAGGTTTTTTTTTAAATAATTGCAATATTTATTTTCCATAACCTCTCACGTGATTATAGGATTACATTAATTCTCTCTTTAAATCTCCATATTTCTCTCTTTCGTTATCTCTCTCCTCTCGTTCTCTCACAAAATTTTCGTTCTCTCATCTTATTCTCTCACAATTTTTTTTTCACGCTCCTTCCTCTCTCTCTCTCTCTCTCTCTCTCTCTCTCTCTCTCTCTCTCTCTCTCTGTCTTATATATATATATATATATATATAT